GAGAACCAGGGAGCCTCATTATTTATTGCTAACCACACATCATATCACTTTAGGGGGATCTGATTGCAGAGTCATACATCACAGGAAGGGGCAATGCAATTCATTCTTGAACAAGTTTGATCATTCTGGTGTCTCATACAATAAAACAGACAACTACTATTCTGGGAAGCATGCAAGTCCCCTGATAGCAGACAATAATAACCTCAGTCACAGGGAGGGGTAGCAACATAGGCAATACAATCAATAGGAGGGGGATGACCTAGGGGTGTGCCCACATTTGTTGTGGGATAAACAGTGGTGTCTGCTTGATCTAGACAGCTGATAATGGCTACCTAACCTCGGTCATCCTTGGGCGGGTTTGACCCCTCTGGTATCGCCTACAAGTAAACAGACAACCACTATCCTTATCAGAAGGGAGTGGGTCTTATTTAGGGTGAGTCAGACTATACAGTCTAGATGGCTGATGTTAGGGAGAATAACCTCTGACCTACTTTCGCTGACCGCCTAGTGAACAGTCATTCTCACGCTAAATCTGGCATATATTTTGGGGAGACAACTTAAGAGAAATCCTTCTGTTCCCCACAACTGTGGTTCAGTTTTTTAAAAATAAATCATTTTATTAGGGGCTCTTGCAGCTCCATACATCAATTATATAAGCGCATTTGTACATATGTTGCCATCATCCTTTTCAAAACATTTTCTTTCTACTTGAGCCCATGGTATCAGCTCGTCTTTTTCTTTCTCCCTAACCCACCCTTCCACCCTCATGAACCCTTGATAAATTATAAGTCATTCTTGTTTTCATATCTTACACTGTCCGCTGTCTCCTTCACCCATGTTTCTGTTTTTGCCACCCAGAAGTGGGGGAGGGTGTTATATGTCTATCATTGTGGTCAATTCCTCCTTTCTCCCCCCACCTTCCTTCTACTCTCATGATATCACTTCTCCCATTACTGTTCCTGGGGGTTTATCTGTCCTGGGTTTTGTGTGTGGAGAGTTCCTAGCTATACCAGTGTACATCCTCTGGTCTAGCCAGATTTGTAAGGTAGAACTGGGGTCATGATAGTGGGGGGTGGGGAGAAAGATTAAAGAATTAGAGGAATGTAGTATGTTTCATTGGTGCTATACTGCACCCTGGCTGACTCATCCCTTCCTTGTGACCCTTCTGTGATGGGATGCCTCCACTTCAGCCCCCAATTTTCACATCAATATGATTGTTTGTTTGCGGTCTTCTGGTGCCTGATACCTGATCCTGTTGACATCTCATGATCACACAGACTGGTGTGCTTCTTCCATGTGGGCTTTTTTGCTCCCCAGGCATGTGGCTGCTTGTTTATCTTCAAGCCTTTAAGACCCCAGAAGCTATATCTTCTAGTAGCCAGGCACCATCTACTTTCTTCACCACATTTGCTTATGCACTCATTTTGACTTCAGCAATCGTGTCGGGAAGGTGAGCATCACAGAATGCTAGGTTATTAAACCATGTTCTTGCATTGAGGTAGAACTAGAGTAGAGGCCCAATGTCCATCTACTACCTTGATACATAACATAAAAATATAGGTACATAACAAAATAATAATTTATAAGTTTTCAAGGGTTCATGAGAGAGGGGAGTGCAGGGAGGGAGGAAAAAAATGAGAAGCTGGTGCCAGGGGCTTAAGTGGAGAGCAAATGTTTCAAGAATGATGATGGCAATGAATGTACAAATGTGCTTTGCACAATTGATGTATGTATGGATTGTGATAAGAGTTGTATGAGCCCCTATAATAAAACGATTATAAATAAATAAAATAGAGAAAAAATATATGTACATAGACCTATATCCCTATCATTATACATTAACATGTTTACATATATACGTGCCTATATTTATACCTCTATACATGTCTTTTGCCTCCTATTCCTTCCCTCTATTTACCTTTACATTCCTCCTGTCCCACTATCATGTTCAACTTTCATTCAGCTTTCAGAAATTCCTCTTGGATACATTGCACTTCTCAAGCCCCACCAGGCATTTTATGCCCTCCTGCCCATCAATTTTAGATCTCTTGTTGTTCTTTTGTTCCTGAGTCTTGGCTCCTCCCTTACTTTCCCCCATCTCTCCTTCTCCCATGCCCCCCAGGACCATTGGTCCTATTGTTTACTCCTCAGCATAGTTTATCCTGCCTATCTTATGTAGATAGATGCAGAAAACAAAAAAGAAAAAAGCCTATAAATAGTTCCAGGTCTGTCTGTTTACTCTTATGAATGTTTTCCAATGGAGTCTGATGAGGTGCCAGGCCTGCCCCTGAAGTCTATTTTGGGGATTCCTCGGAAACTTCATTGCTTTGCTCCCCTTCTCACTCTGTTATGCTCCCTTCATGTTTTGCCCTGGTGTGAGGGGGTCAGACCAGGCATAATGCCTGCACTGTGTCTCCAGTGGTGTCCGCTTCAGCGCTATGGGTCAGTGAGGGGAAGCCATGTCTCATGGTGAGGCTGGCCCTAAGCTAGTCTCTGTGCATTGGCTGCTCCAAGCAGGAATGTCATCCTCAAGGCTTGGTGGGCCAGGATGAGGTTCTCTCTCTCTCTCTCTCTCTCTCTCTCTCTCTCTCTCACTCTCTTCTTCCCTCCTAGTTTTCTCCTGTGTAGTCTGAGCAAACCCACCCCTTTCCCAGGGCTACATCTTCAGTGCTGTTCGTTGTAGTGCACTCTTCTGGAGAGGGGTCAATATAGCTGAGATTGGGGCTGGCCCCACAGACCTCTCTGTTAGTTCACTGCTTCATGTTGGTGTGTTGCCTTCAAGGCTTGATGCACCAAGTTGATGTCTGGTCCTTCTCCCCCTTTCCTGTGGAGACATAAACAATACCCTCCCCAGGGGTGGGTTCATGCCTGAGCTTTCTCTTTGGGACATTGGTAGAAATGATTCTGCAGGCTGCCTGTAGCCAACTTCCCTGGGGGTTCAGGCTGCAGCCTTGTCCTTCTTGGGTTTCCCTCTCACCTAGCCTATTCTGTTGTTTGGAGTGTAGATTGGATGGCCCTCTCAGGGGACACTGCATGGATGGTTGCCAGCCAAGAGGGTGGTGTTATGTAGGCGATTTGGTGGAGAGCATTGAAGGGAGGCTCCAGGGCTGGATTGAGGCCATCAGCAGTCAGCAGACCATGGTGCCTTTCCAGTGAGGGCTGATGGTATAATCGTGGGTCCAGTGGCAGCCTGGTGGGGGTGCTGCAAGGCCTGGGGCCATATCTGGAGACAGACTGGTTCTGGCTACAATTAAAAGTCTTTCAAATACTGTTTGTCATGCCCCAAACTGGTAGAACAAGTTTTTGGCCTGGGCTGCAGCTTTCAGTTCCTGTTAGCATTTCTTGTTTTGTTATGTTAAAGCTATGTTAGTGGACAAGGTTCCTGGTGGCTTACATTCAAAGTTACACAAAGGAAGAGAGCCTCAGATTGAAAGTGTTTTTAAAGTTTTGTTTTGTTTTGTGTTTTTAATGGGCTTGTAGGGTGCCCTGGTATGGGGTGTGTGTGTGTGTGTGTGTGTGTGTGTGTGTGTGTAACATGCCCCCCAGGGAAGGCGGACCAGATTAGCTTAGTGGATTTGGGTCCATTGGGTCTGAATTGCCCCAACTGCCCTTAACCTCCCTCCTATGTTTAACCTCCCTCCTGTGCCACTCTGCAGGTTGTGCTCTGGGGAATCTACCATGGGTAAATATCCTAGGGGCTCTCCAATTGCAGCAAATTGGTGTCTCTAATTATCTATTGTTACCCATGCTGGCAGGTGGGCATCTGAACAGAAGGGGGAAAGGGATAGCTGATGCATACTCTCTGCTCCTGGCCGGGGAGAGGAGATACAACACCCATGAATGCAGGGGCAGGGAGGGTTGCGGAGAGGAGACCTCTGATGTGAGCCCTTGTGGCTAGTTCTAGGTGGCTGTCTGTATGCCCGAGATTATGACTGCCTTTTTACAGCAGTCTGGAGAAACAACTGCACACTGTCAGTCTCAGATCATAAGTCCAGGAAGGGATGGCAGACTTAGTCCATCTGGACCTGGCGAGGGATTAGTGGAGCTCGAGCACAGGTGCAGTGAACTTAGAGCATTCCAGCAAGCCTTTTAATCACTCTATGGGTGAAAATCGCAGGGGGAGATCTGATCCACAGACCCCCCCTAGTACACTTGAACTATATTTCTGTCTTACGTCTTAATTTTCCAATTTAACAGCAGGAGCACCAGGTGGGTGCTTTTACCTGAACACCATCTTGGAACAAACTCTAATTGAAATTTTTAAGAAGTAATATAACTGACATGAGTAAATGATGATCTGCATCCAGGATTGGAAAACTACAGCCTATTGGCAAACTTTGATGGCCCCATTTTTGCAAATGAAGTCTTGGTGGAATACCAAAACCAAACCAAACTATTGTCTTGAGTCAATTTCAACTCATGACAACCCCATGAATTACAGAAGTAAAGTGAGTTCCATTTTTTTACAGTTTCTTTACAGAAGATTGCCAGACCTTTCTTCTGCAGTGCTGCTAGATGAGTTCAAACAGTCAATCTTTCAGTTAGTAGCTGAGAGCACATTGTGCCACCCAGGGTCCTTATTGAAGCTCAGTCACTTCTGTTTTGTTTGTCTATGCCAGCTTTTGTGCTACCAAATTGAATAACTATGACCTGCAATGTGAAAGAATATGTATTATCCATCCTTTTACCAAAAACAAAATTTTACAACCCTTTACTTAGGACAGTGATTCTCTCCCCTTGGGACAGTGGTGAGAGTGGCGATACTGGGAAGGTGGAGGGAAAGTGGGGTAGAAAGGGCAAACTGATTACAAGGTTCTGCATATAACCCCCACCCTGGGGAACAGACAACAGAAGAGTGAGTGAAGGGAGATGTCGGACAGTATAAGACAGGAAAAAATAATAATAATTTATAAATTATCAAGAGTTTATGAGGAAGGGGTCTGGGGAGGGAGGGGGAAAATGAGGAACTGATACCAAGGTCTCAAGTAGAAACAAAATGTTTTGAGAATGATGAGGGCAACAAATGTACAGATGTGCTTGACATGTGTATGTATGGATTGTGATGAGCTGCATGAGCCCCCAATTGAATGATTACATAAGTAAAAAATAAAAAAGAACAGTGTTTCTCAAACCTGGCTGCACATTAGACTCACCCAGGGAGCTTTTGAAAATCCCAGTGCCAAGGCCCATACACCAAAGTAGTCAAATGAGAATCTCTTAGTTTGAGATACAGGCTTTAGGATTTTTCCAACTCTTCCAATTCCAATATCCAGCCAAGTGTGCAGGTTGATCATCTGTAAGAATGGGAGCATTAACCTAACTTGGCATGTGTTCCCATGCATAGAGCTTACAAGTTACACAAGATGTAGCTCCCATTGGAGAAATTGGATAGTTCAAATGACACAGGTGATGACATAGATGAGCTTCTTGCTTGACTTCACTCACAGTCTTAGAGAAGCAAAGAGTAAAGGGAGGGAAGGTGAAGTGCGTAAAGGATGCTTGGAGAACAGCAGTTTGACTGGATCCCTAAATGTCCCTCTGGGCCCCTGCTTCAAGAATGTGCTAAGTGTGATGGAAATGAGAGAAAACTGCCAATTCTAGAATTCTGAAGACAAAGTGTTGCAATGGGGAAGAGAAAGAGTTTAAGGTCTACAATCAGGAGAACAAACATAGCTTACAAATGAAAGGGACTCTGGGTAAATAAGGAGCGCAGTATTGGGTTGATAACTGCAGGGTCGGCAGTTCGAACACTACTGGCCACACTGCAGGAAAAAACTGAGCTGCCATTTCCTGTAACGGTTTGTATCTCAGACACCCCGAGGAGCCGTTCTACTGTGCCCTATAAAAGATCATAGAAATGGACTTCATGGCAGTGGGTTTGGTTTTTTGTTTGGCTACATATTGTGTAAACATTTGTTACAGGAGGGCAATAGGAACTGTGGAGTAGCCCATACCTTATTCCCCACCCCTACCCAAATTGATGATATAATGAAATACCATGGGGCTTGAAAAACTTGATGGAAAAAATCCAATATCTTTTCATTCCAAGTTTCCACATACTTTTTAAAGCCCTCTCATATGGCTGCCCTGGTGGCACAAGGGTTCAGCAATCAGCTGTTACCCAACAAAGTCAGCCGTTTGTACCCCCTACTGTCTCCATTGGAGGAGCCCTGGTGCCATAGTGGGCTACCCACTGGGCTGCTAACCATAAAGTAAGCAGTTGGAAGCTACTCTGCATTCTGAAGGAGAAAGATGAGGCTTTCTACTCCCAGAAAATATTACAGTCTCAGAAACCCACGGGGCAGACCCTGTCCTATAGGGTCCCTTTGTGTTGGAATGGATTTGATGGCAATGAGTTTGGTTTGGGTTTATTATCTCCATGTGAGAATGATCTAGAGATCTGCTCCTCTAAAGAACACGGCTCAGGAGACCCTGTGGGGTAGTCTCTGTGATCTGGGTCACTGTAAGTAGAAATCCACTCAGAAAAGCTAACCACAGGGATTATTTGAATATCCATAAACACAACAGAAAAGTTAAGGAATTTTGTTTCGAAGTTCTTACAACACAAGATTAGCTTTCTTCTGAAATGATTAGATGTCAGTTTTGAACATATCTCTCAAGATGTGGTCAAATAACACAAACTCCTTCTCCAAGGGCCCCTTGCTTGGCCCATTTTGTTAATGTCACTCTTCCAAAATTCTAAAGAAGCCATTTTCTAGCTTGGAACCCCTCCCTTCCCATCTCTCTCTTTCAAGCTTGTGGCTCTGAACCCAAGAATAAAGCTTAGCCTAAGGCACTTCCTTTCTTCTGAAATTGCAGGTTCCATCCTCTCATCTACTGACTGCCTCTGTTATGTCAGCTCCTGCATCACTGGCTATTGCTAAACTCTTTTGGCCAGAGACGGAAACGCCTAAAATAACCCTCCAGAATGCCATGAAAATGGAAAATGGGTAAGTGGGGCACCTTCACCTAACTGATGACAACTGAGGCTGAAGGGACAAGGATGCAAAGTCCAAGTTCAGCCAAAATTTTAATACCCACAGAGCACAGTGAACAAAAGTAGTGAAGTGAATTCAATTCCCCGGTGATAATTATCTAGCCTTCCTCAATATAAAATGACTGTTGCAACACTTGAAAATAATTTTTCTAGATCTCTAAATGCTGGTATCTTCTTTCGACAATTATTCATGATAAAGATATCTCATTGTAAGTACAGCATTGGGTTCATAACACCTTGGTTTAAGACTGTTGCAAAGTCATAGAATGACCATTTCTAGGGATTTTTTCCATTTAATAGAGTAAAAGGCATCTGTCTGGGATACAGATAGTTTTAACCTCCTTTCTGTACCTTAGTTTCTCTTGTCTGGCTTAAAAGAAAGAAAGAAGGTGGGAAAGACTAAGGGATCTGGGAATATACAAAAGTATTTTAATGAAGAAAAGAGTTCATCAACCAAAGTGTTCTTGAGATTCATCCTTGTTTGTCTGTGGGTGGTGTTATCACAATAAGTAAAAAAGCCAAATTGCCAAACTACTGCATACAGTTTGATTCCACTTATAGATACTTGTAAAGTTAACATACTTAGTCTGTATTAGTTGGGTACAAAAATACATAGGAAGATTGTAGAAAGGGGATGCTAAAGAAAGAGAGAAGGTGGTGGATTAAGGAAAGCACACAGGGAGTCAGGTGATTCCATTCCTTAAGTGAGCTGATGAATCTGTATACCACTAGTTTTTAAACTTTACCTATTTTAAGGATTATCTGGGTGGTGCAAATAGTTAATGCACTCAGCTGTTAAAAGGTTAAGCTTTGTGTCTACCCAGAGGTACCTCAGAAGGAAAGTCTGGCAATTGCTTCTGAAAAAGAAAAAAAGCCATTGAAAGCCCTCCGGTGAAGTTCAGCTTGAATGCATATGAAGTCACCATGAGTCAATGTAAACTCAGAGGCACTGGGATATTTTTTTTAGATATAAGTATTCTTAAAAGCTATGCAGTAAAATTAATTTTTGAAAAAGAACAGTATAATAATCGACACCCATATGCCTATCATGTAGATTCAACAATTATGAAACTAACTCCATTATGATTTCATAGAATTCCAGCCATGATACTGACAGTTTGTATTTTCATCTGGATGAGCTCTAGTTGTGCCATTTCTGTACTGTGATGTCCACCCATTGACAACCTCTGGGTAATTCTGGAATTACTGTGTTTTGATTAAGTGAGTCAAGGAACCTCCTGGAAGCTGCAACCCAGGGAGCGTCCTCATCCATCTCTCTGGTGGCAAATATCGCCGTGAACCTGATTGCCTTCCTGGCCCTGTTGTCATTTCTGAATTCAGCCCTCTCCTGGTTTGGAAACATGTTTGACTACCCACAGCTGAGTTTTGAGGTATAAGTCTTCTATGCTTCTGCCCCTAATTTTGTTTCTGCCTAAAATGAGTTTGGGAGCATTTTTCCCTAAGCTAAAATAGTGTGCTTACTCATTGTCCAAGTGTACCCTATATCCACTCCTCATTTTTCCATCCCCTTTATTCTACCACCCTCCTTCCCCCAACATATATTCATTCTTCTCTGACCCTACTCACAAGATTCCAGTTACTCCCAATGAGCCAATTTCACCTTGGCACCTCTTGGCTAAAGCAAGAGCATATGGAGAGATTTCTGAATCTGAAAGGAACATGGGCAAGCAGGAACAATCTTAGAACTATAGATAAATCAGAAGAACTGGAAGTAAATCAATACTCAGCTAATAAGCCCTTTGTTTTTTACTTCTGTAGATAATCTGCTCCTACGTCTTCATGCCTTTTTCCTTCATGATGGGCGTGGACTGGCAAGACAGCTTTATGGTTGCCAAACTCATAGGTTATAAGACTTTCTTCAATGAATTTGTGGCTTATGAGCACCTCTCCAAATTGATTCACTTGAGGAAAGAAGCTGGACCCAAATTTGTGAATGGACAACTACAATATATGTCAGTGAGTACTACTTTAGTTTTTCAGCACACCACTTCATCCCAAACATCCACTCACCAAATCAACCTGTTGTTGTCGATTCTGACTCATAGCAATACAGAGTAGAACTGTCCCATGCCACATTTTATCCTTCAGAGCTGCTAGTGGATTTGAATGGCTGACCTTTTAGTTAGCAACCAACTGCTTAACCTTGCCCCATCAGGGCTTCTTCAGTCATTGCCTAGTTGCCTCAGTATGTCAGGCACTTTGACTATATCAGAAAACAAAACAGACCAAAACCCCTGGTCTCAGGTAGTTCATATTAACTGCCAGACTTGGATGACACCATGGAGAGCAGGATTGGACCATTGTGATCCACAGGGTTTTTGTTGGCTGACTTTTGAAAGTAGATTTCCTTGGCTTTCTTCCTAGAATAAACTTCTGACTGCAAATGACTAAATTCATACTCATAGCTACTCTGTAGGACAAGGTATAGCTCACTGCCCCTGTGGGTTTCTGAGACTATAACTCTTTACGGGAGCTGGTGGTTTTGAACTGTTAACTTTGTTGTTAGCAACCCAAAATGGACCACTATGCCACCAGGAGCCCTGGTAGATTTCTCTCTCTCTCTCCCTCCCCCTGTCCCTCACCCGCCCCCTCCCCCCACCCCGCCCCCAGCCCCCTACTTCTCTCATCAAGTTGGTTCTGACTCACTGTAACACTACAGAACAGAGTAGAACTGCTCTGGTGAGTTTCCAAGAGTGGAACTGTTTACAAGAGTAGAAAGCCTCACCTTGCTCCTGAGGATCAGCTGGTGGTTTGGAACTGCAGACCTTGCTATTAGCAGTCCATCATGTAACAACTTCACCACCAGGCCTCCATAAGTTAACACAGTGAGCCTTAGCACCTTGTAATTTTCAGTTATGTTGAACGTGTGTGTGTGTGTTGTGTGTGTGTGTGTGTGTGTGTGTAAATACAGGGAATCCTGTCCACTGTGATGATTTTACTTTTTCTAATAGACTAATTTTAAAGCAGTTTACGTTTACAGAAAAGTTATGCAGTACAAAGAATTTCTGTATACCCTTTTTTACCTGCTGCATGATGTCTTGCATTCTTGTGATAGGTATATTACAATGAATGAAACAATATTGATATTTAATTGACTAAAGTTCAGAGTTTACATTAAAGTTCACTCTTGTGTTGTACAGTTCTATGAATTTTGACAAAACCATGTTGCTGTGTGTCCACCAATACAATATCATACAGAATCGTTTCGTTGTCCTTGCACTCCACCCATCCATTTCCCTAGAAACCACTGGCAACCTCAACCAATCACTTATCTTTTCACAGTCTCTATTCTAAGTTTTTCTTTTCTAGAATGTAATGTAGCCTTTCCAGACTGGCACTTTTACTCAACCATGTGCCTTTAAAGGTCTCCTATGTCTTGACAGTGATTCGACTGCTCTTTCATGTTTATTGTTGAATGACACTCCATGGTATGAATTTATAACATATTGTCTATTGAATAATTATCACAAGCAGGTGGCTTCAAGGAACATCATTTATTTTTTCACACTTTAGGAGGCTAGAAGCCCACACTCAGGGTGCTGACATCAGGGGAACACTCGTCTGCGTGTGACTTTGGAAGAGGGTTCTTGTCTCTTCTCAGCGTCTACTCCAAGGTTCCTTGGCCAGCATGTGGCATATTTTCATTGTGATTGCGCTTACTTGCTTTGCTTGCTGCTTAATCTGGTCTTTTGTCTCTCAGAAGACTGGTTTAAGACACACCCTACACTAAATACTGTCTCAGGAACACGACGAAGAAGAACCTTTCCCAGATTGGTTTGCAGCCACACGTGTCAGGGTTAGGATTGATAACACTCATTTTTGAGGATGCACAGTTCAATCCATAATAGTAAACAATAAGCTAAGTTTAGTGAAATGTTTTCTTTTCCCAGTTGCTAGTTGGCAGGAGAAACACGTCTTGTTATGTGCAAAACAAGCTTGCCATTCTGGCAGTGTTAAGCAGTTTTGTGACTACAAAGATGGAGCTGGAACAGCAGAGCTGATTAAGACTTGGGGTGATCCCAACCAAAGACAAAAACACAGAGGAGGTTTAGAAACAGCAAGTAATTCCATGGCTTCTGGCATTGTTGAGTTATGAGGGGAAAATGTGGTTTCTCCAAATTTCAGAGTTCTCAAGAGCAAACTGGGGGAAAGAGTCATGGTAATTTCTTTCTTATCAACCAGAATGTGTTAAGCATGTCCTGCTGTCACCTAGAAAATGTATCACATATGTAAGAGACAAGAGCCCTAGTGATACCTAATCTCTTAGTTGTGTTAACTCCTGCAGGTCCCTCTATTAGCTTCTGGTGACTGCTAACAATCCTTGGCATTCCTTGGCATGTCGACAATCTTCACATGGCATGTCTTCTCCCTGTTTGTATCTCCATGTTTAGGATTCTACCTACTCTAATCTGACCTCAATAATATAACAAAAGAAAACTATTTTCAGACATGATCACATCCCCAAATACAATGGCCAGGATTTCAATTCATATTGTTAGGGGACACAATCTAATCCCAAATTTATGTAGTACTTTGAATGAGCATTTTACTACTTATGTCTTAGGATGTGTTCCCTAGAGAAGTAAAACCAGTAAAAAAAAAAAATACCGACTTTATAAAAGAGAACTGGATCACACAACTTGTAGAGGCAGGCACTTGCCAAGTCCGTGAGTCAGATATTAGGCAAGGAGCATCTCTTGACTCACCTCGCTTCAGAGGCTGATGAGCCCAAGATCAGCAGGTCAGACAGCAGGCTTCTGGCTGCCAAGGTAAATAAATCCAATACTGACAATAAGGTGGCAGGCTGCTGGTGACTCCCAGGATCAGTAGACAATACAACAGGCTGCTGGCTCCAAGTGCAAAGAACCCAAAGTCAGGTGAGAAGGTGAGGACAGGATCTGACCCCAAAAAGCAAAGAAAGCTTTTCCACAGCATCCAATTATGTTGGAAACAGGCTACCCTCTTGAGGAGATCTCTTCATGGGAGGTCATGGTGTCTTTCTTAACTGCCAAACCATTGAGTGTCCTGCCCCGGTCAAGTTCACAGAAAACCTTAATCATCACACTCCATCTCCCCCTTTTTAGGATAACTATATCTTTATATGGAAAACCGATATACGTCATGGTATAGAAAGATTCAAAGAGTTATAAAAGGAAAAGTAAATCTTCCTCCCTCTTTGCAGCCCCCCAGTTCTTGTCCTTGGAGCATATTTTGCCCACTGTTCTTCACCTTGCTCTAGTCACTTGAAAACATGTCTGAGGTAGCTTTCTATATCAGTTCAATGGCACGGGATTTTTTGTTTTTTTCCTTAAAAAAATTGTTATTAAAAGATTATTTTTTTGGAGGCTCTTACAGCTCTTACAGCAAGCCATACATCAATTATATCAAGCATATCTGTACATATGTTGCCATCATTATTTTCTAAAGTGGCACAGAATTTTATGAATGAACCTGAATTTCTTTCAGTCAGTCTCTTGATGATAATTATTTTCACTGCTTTGCTACTATAAGTCATGCAACAGTGACTATCCTTGTGCCTGTAGGGGCTCTGTTCATATGCAAGGAGAGCTCGCTGATGTAGCAGTATTTTTCTGGTAGTGTGCATCTCTTCTTATTGTACAGTTATCTCAGCTTCCTTGTCCTCTCCTCCTTGTTATAAAACCATACATGGCCCCATGTATATTTTCTGTCCTCAAAGATCTTCAGAGAAAACAAACTGCCATCTCATGCCCTCTGTGCCATCTCTCTCCCCACAGTCTCTTAATAAACTTGCTTGCTTTGGAAGCCATTGAAATAAAGTGAAATGCTTGAAAGAAAGCAAGGGACAAGGAGAGGGAAGTGGCTGCTTTTCCAGAAATGGTAAATTGCGCAAATACGTGAAGATTATTTTTCCAGTCTGCTATATACATACTGATTGAAAATATCCACAAAAGAATTTCTAGATCCATGGAAAACAAAGGGGGCCTTACAAGCAACAAAACCTAGCTATTTGACATGGCTATTTGAATCTTGACTGTGAGCTTTAGAAAAATCTAGTTCGTGAAAGAGAACATGGCATATATACTTCTGAGTTTACAGAGGGCCCCTGCTTGCGTGGTTGTTCTATGAATCAAGTCACATGTTTCAGTCTATAGGGAAGTAAATGATCACCCCAGTTATGTGGCTACCTTTGCCAGCTCTCCAAGCCACCGAAAGCCGAGAAGGAATTGTCTGGCCTGCACATACCTTTTGACTGTCAGCTTAGAGCAACAGCTAAGCCCATCCATCTTCTCAGAATCCTGTAAAAGGGCTGTTCTCTCTCCCACTTGCAGGCAGATAAATTAAAGCCCTTGTGGAGTGGTGAGAGATTTGAGGTCCGCACAAAAGCAAACACACATGATGGCCAGAATACAAGGAAGATTCTTTGATATCTGCAAGCTTTCTCTTTACTAATGTGATTCCTTTAAGGTAAAAAGGCATCCTTTTAACCAAAGAGTAAGATACATACTTAAAAGTGCTGTTTTAGATGTAGCTTCAAAGGTTTTGATGACTGTGTCACCTTACCAAAATGTAAAACACTGCCATCACCCCTAACAGTTTCCCTCACCCCTCTTTGCAGTCAGCACTTTCCCCAGCCCAGTCCTGAGCCATTAAGGACATGCTTTTACTCATGATAGATTACTTTTGCCTGTTTTAGAGTTTCATATAAGTGGAATCACATAGCATCTGCACTGTCTCGTGTGCTTCTTCTCTCTTTTTATTGCAAAGTAACACTTCATTTTATGAATAGCAATGAATTGCTTACCCATTTGCCTCTTGATGGACATTTGGATTGCTTCCAGTTTGGGGCTATGATGAATGAAAATGCTATGAATGTTTATGTATATTATGTTATGTTTTGGCAGGCATATGCTTTTAGATCTCCTGGGCAAATTTCTAGCAATGGAATTTCTGGATCACAATATGCCGTCTATGTTAACTTGATTTGGACCTGCCACACGTCTACAAACAAGCAGTGAGATTTTGCATTCCCACATTAGCAGGCTCTATGAGTTGCACGTCCTCCATAATCGTCACCAACATTTGTTAGTGTCCTTTTAAATTAGTCATTCCAGTGGATATAAAGCTGTATCTAATTGTAGCTTGAATGTGCGTGATTCTGGTGACCAATGATGCTGAGCATCTTTTTATCAGCTTGTTAGCCATCGGCATATCTTTTTTGTAGTGTTCAAATGTCATCATCCCCTTTGCACTGTGTCTTGTTATTGCTGAGTTAGAACAGTTCAGTATGCATGGTGGCAAGCACTCCTGTTAAATGAAACCAGTGTGAGTGTCCTCTGGGACCAATTTTGTATCTCCAGTAAGTATACTAATCCCTGGAACATGATAGCAGGTGATTGGCCATATTGAGTGTGAGAAGTTTGGCTGCCAACTCCAAGTCTTTGTATAACATCATCTGAATCCATAGATCCCCTTTCCTTCCTCCCTCGGAATTGAGGGGGAGATGGGGAAAAATTTGGGAAGCAAAGGGTATTTGGTTCTGTGTATGGTGCATTGGTTTGTCAATATTAATTCTGGAGTCTGAATCTGAGGTCCTTTGGGACGTCAAGTTAACTAAGCTGGTTAGACTATGTACACATCTGTATGTTTATGCTTGTTTACAGATTCGTTCTGAGACCATTGCCACATATGCCCTTTGTGGCTTTGCCAATATTGGTTCCCTAGGAATAGCGATCGGTGGATTAAGTAAGTAAGAGAGTTCAACAAACATGGCACATATTTGATCTCCATCCTGCTCTATAACTCCATGCCATTGAAAAAATGTCCTGTAATAATAATAAATTCTATTTATCTATTTTTATTTCCTGTGGGTACCCAAGATAATCTCAGCTTGAATTTGAGGGAAGACTTTGTCAAATGAATTTCAGGGATAATTTGTTCAAATGACAGCTGCTTCTCCCAACCCTTGGATAACATTTAGGTTTCACCTTGCATGCCGATCCCAGGTGATTTATAATAGCCACCGGGAGAAGGATTCTGAAGTCCAGTGGGGGGGGGGGGTGCTGTCATGTCTACCACAGATGTAGGTGGAGATGGTGATAGATGAGCTACAGATTTTGGAGGTCCCTTTTTGCAACCTATCTGTCTTGTCATGTACTCAAA